CATCAGGTACTGCTGCAAGCCCCGCCCCAACACCCCCGCCCACTTTTCCAGCGCGGTCACGGTTTTCCAAAATGTTTTATGAAATCTGCTTCTTCGACTTTTTCTCACTTTTGCTAGTTGCACACACACTTCAACTGAAAAGGATTGGTACCGATACAGATCTGACTCCGCCCACTGATGTAAGTTCTGAATTTTTAACTTCTTTCGACGTCGGTTTTTTCACATTCAATCTTCACAAAACGAATATAGCCATGCTTTTACACACTAGCACACTAGGCCCCGCCCCTCTGACCACGCCCACTTTCGTTTTTCGCGGAATTTTGATTTTTCTTCCGAATTTTCACTTTTTTAGGCTGTGACAAGCGGCCCCGCCCACTAATGGAAGCTCCGCCCACTTTTCAAAAATGATGCAGATCGGCGAGCTAGTGACCGTACTAGCAGGTTATGGCCTCTCCCGTCACCCGGAACAAAGTTTCCCTTTTTTGTGGTCTTTCCCTTTTTTCATTCTATGTGACGGGAGAGGCCATAACCTGCTAGTACGGTCACTAGCTCGCCGATCTGCATCATTTTCGAAAAGTGGGCGGTTCTACAAAGTGGGCGGAGCTTCCATTAGTGGGCGGGGCCGCTTGTCACAGCCTAAAAAAGTGAAAATTCGGAAGAAAAATCAAAATTCCGCGAAAAACGAAAGTGGGCGTGGTCAGAGGGGCGGGGCCTAGTGTGCTAGTGTGTAAAAGCATGACTATATTCGTTTTGTGAAGATTGAATGTGAAAAAACCGACGTCGAAAGAAGTTAAAAATTCAGAACTTACATCACTTGATTGTGAAGTGGGCGGAGTCAGATCTGTATCGGTACCAATCCTTTTCAGTTGAAGTGTGTGTGCAACTAGCAAAAGTGAGAAAAAGTCGAAGAAGCAGATTTCATAAAACATTTTGGAAAACCGTGACCGCGCTGGAAAGGTGGGCGGGGGTGTTGGGGCGGGGCTTGCAGCAGTACCTAGTGTGGTCTAGTTATCAACTGCCCTTGGTAGGGGTGTGTCCGATTTGATTTGAAAAGTGTCCGATTTGGTTTGAAAAGTGTCCGATTTGGTTTGAAAAGTGTCCGATTTGGTTTGAAAAGTGTCCGATTTGGTTTGAAAAGTGTGTTTAAGTGAAATCACTCTGAATTCATCAATTTTCTGTGAAAATCACTGCCTTTCAACCCAAAATCACTTTTTTTCAAAACAAATCCGTCTTTTTTCAGATCATTCTCCACCTTTTTAAGACCGGGCAGTTTACAATCAGATGGTGCTAGACAAAATGAGAAGGCTCGAAGCCCCGACGGCTACGACTATTTTCTGTCGAAAGCTTTCAATTTGTTTATAACCTCTGCTTCTATCACTTTTTGACCGCAATACATCAACTGAAACAAAAAACGGAACAAAAAAATCAGGCAGAGTTTTCTCTACTCTGAGAGCTAGACCTTAGCATGCCAGTACTCTATTCTCGATTCGCAACATTTTTTAGGAGAGGCTGCTGCGACCTAGGCGGAACCTCTCATGATGGGAGGAGCTGCCTGCAGCAGCCAAAAAATGTGAAAATTTTGTAAAAGCCGCAAATTCTGCAAAAAGGCCCAAAAATGAGAGTAGTTCGAGGGGCGGATTTTAGCGTGCCAGTACATGAATGCGCGTTTATGAACACCTTCGTTTTGTGAAGAGTGGGTGTAAAAACAACGATTTTGATAAAAGTTTCAAAAATTCGTAATTTGCGACGAATTCCTTGACGAATTGGCGGACCCGCCTGTGTCTCTTTATATCAATAGCATTCAGATTGTGTCTGGGCGAGAAGGCAAAAGTAAACTCATGGAGAACACTCATGGAGAGAACGCAATTCAATAGCTTTTCACTAGTTTCAATCTCCTACAGCGACTGCCCATGAGCTTTGCTTAAAGGAACCGCTCAAACACATTGAGGGTGTATGAGACTATCAGCCCCCAGCTGTCGATGTGTCGTGGTCCCCCCGCCCAAACATGCCCAGGAATGGAGATACAGGGCCGTGAAACAATACCTTTTGCGGCGCAGATTCCCGTTCCTTCATAACATCCGTCGTAAGCGCGCGTGTCGCGTGCGGCTCCTTGGCACTTTGCCAAGTCCTTAATTGCGCTTTGAAATACAAGTAAACGCAATTTCCTGATGCGGATAACATTTTAGGTGCTGCAAAATAAGAACCGAAGATGATGACGAGGGCCAGAACTCAAGAGCAACTGTGCTGTTCCTGCAACATTCCTCAGAGGCAGCGCATTTAAAAACGGCCCACTCGTTAGTTTAATACAAGCAAAACGCAATTTCCTGATGCGAATAACATTTGAGGTGTTGCTCATGCTTCAAAATCCGAATACAAGGAGATGAAGATGACAAAGGCTAGAAATGAAGCACAACTAATGTAAGTGTAAATAAAACAAAAATGAAAGAAATCAGGGAAATACGAATTAATTAAAATCGCGTGTAAATTTCTGCGATCCGGCGCGAATCCGGCCCCAAGGCCATAGAAATACTTTAAACTAACGAGTGGGACGCTTAGGCCGTTTTTATTGTCATGTTCTGTGGGAATGCGCGGCCTCTGAGGGATGTTGCAGAAGCAGCACAGTTGCTCTTGAGTTCTGGCCCTCGTCATCATCTTCGGTTCTTATTTTGCAGCACCTAAAATGTTATCCGCATCAGGAAATTGCGTTTTACTTGTATTCCAAAGCGCAATTAAAGGACTTGGCAAAGTGCCAAGGAGCCGCACGCGACACGCGCGCTTACGACGGATGTTATGAAGGACGGGAATCTGCGCCGCAAAAAGGTGTAAGGCGGAGCATGGAGGAATTAGCGTGTTTCACGGTCCTGTATCTCCATTCCTGGGCATGTTTGGGCGGGGGGACCACGACACATCGACAGCTGGGGGCTGATAGTCTCATACACCCTCAATGTGTTTGAGGTATCTTTAAAGGTGCTATTCCCACAGAAGATGTCAATAATCAGTGCACTGAACGCCCTCCTCCTTTCCACTAGCGGAATAAAGTTTGAACCAGATCGTCTTTGTTACTAGCATTACCATGCATAGCTGAACAGCATCTGCTCATACCCCACTCCAAGATCTGCACCACCCAATGTGCAGTTGAGTCAGATTCTCTGAGAGTTCCTCCTTTGAGAGAATTTTTCCGGGTTGTTCAGCTGATCGAAACAAAAACCTCACCGCTTTGCCAATCGTCATTGTTGTGACGTTAGATGAAATTCGCTGAGTCCCGTAGAAGCAGCATATGACAAGAAGTTCGACAAGAACCACAACGATGGCCGCAGCTGGCATCACATTTGTTTGCAAACTAATTTTAGGCACGTAGCAATACTGAAATGAGGCCGGATTTTCCAGAAGACTCCTAACAGGGTGGAAAACTTACGGGACAGTAAGGTATTAAAGACAGCAAAGCTGCTGTCAGGCAGATGATATAAAGCACTGCTGTTCGGATTCCCTGTGTCGGTACTAAGTCGGTGTAATCTATTACTGTGGAAAAAATAGCTTCGATACGCACAACCTAAAATTTCAAAACAGATTGGTTTACGCCCACCTACATAAGTATCTAATTGTTGTCGCAATCTGTCGGGGCGTGGCAGGAACGGTGGAATGAGCCTGCCTCTTAAAGCCTTTTTCTACCAAGATCGCTTAGTGGTCGGTTTAGTAAAAAAAGGCAGCGGGTGACGAAAACTCCGCCGGATAGGGTCATTTCAGCGGCGTTCAACCGCGAACCAACTGTGGCGAACATGAACTGTAAATGGTTAGAGAGAATGCACTGCTCTGTTCAAAAGATCATCCCATTGAAAAAGTGGAGCATGTAGAGGAATGGCAGGAAAGCAAAGGTGATAGGTTTGCGGACTCCTATGCCGTTCTAAAGGCCGTACCCTTAGCTGCGTATTTGTGAAATGCGGTTAACCTAGCCACAGAAAAATTCTCGGGATGTTGGGGTCCGAGTGCCGAACCAGCGCTAGATCTTGGAAGCGGGCGTCATTCAAGGAAAATGGGCTAGCAAATCTGTCCTTTGCGGAGCACTAGTTGCATATAGTGGTGTTCATGAAATGGAGTGTGGAAGGTTCGGTTCAGAAGTCCAAAGAAGGAAGAGCGAAAGAGAGTTAAGCCAGAGTAGGGCCCCATAATGTTCATGCACAAGAAGACGGGTGGATGAATTCAGGCGGTGAATATCTGATCGCAGAAACTGGACCATTGTCAAGCTTCTTGAGACTGATACCTTCTGTAACCGTTGCTCGGGTTACATCCGAAAGTTTGGAGATGGCAAAAAAAGTATGCGTTTGGGTACCTCATTCTCGGTAAAAGCACGAAGGCAGAAGTGGTTCTATGCTTGTAGCATCGATCTTCTCCACGTGATATGTCACTGACATTTGTGAAAGAGGACTTTGCCTCTAGAGGAATGGGTGGTCTTGTGGGCGGGCCGGAATTCACAGGAGGAAGCTGCCCAAATTCTTGCATGAGGAGCTACGTGGGCCCAAACGGATAATCGTTAACTATA